ATGGCTTCCTTTGCGGCGAAACGCGGAGGTCGGGCTGGAAGGCAGCGAGGCCGAGGCTCTACCGAGAACCTCCATCCAGACGTCTGCTTGACCCGGCGCCGGGGCTGCGTCCGTTTTCTTTTCTTTTTTTTTTTTTTTTCTTCTTCCCCGCCCCCTTTTCTTCGGTTCTCATTTTAGATCGCTTGCGTTTTAAAAATTCATATACGGACACATTTAAAAAGCAGTTTCGTATTTTAGAGTCGGCAGCAGCAGAGGGAGAATTACAAATAGGATTGGATTTAATTAGCTGGTAATGCTCCTCTCATGCCCTATAATTAAGCAGAGATTCTTGTGGCGCTTCAGGGCTCACAAGTGATTATTACGAGCATATTTTACATTTACATTAAAACGTCGTCCCCGGGGTGTAATCCAGGGTCTGGCTCCATCTATTCGGATTTCAAACCTGAGCACTGAGGCCAGAACACTTCTCTCCAGCGAGGAAGAGAGGCTTGTGCACTCGGTTGTTTGGTATCCCTGGCTGATTTGAACTTCTGTACGGTTTTCTGAGGCCTAAAGCAGCCGAAGTTTCCCGAGATGACTCCATATCCGGCCAGGGCACTCGCAGCCTGGAACCCCACAGAGACTCAAGCCGAAATACATACATTTTAAAGCGTGAATTTCGTGCAAAACCCAGAACCACTTTGGTGGTTCCCTACCACACACACAGGCACTTCCGGGCAGCGCCCATGGGCAGGTCGGATCGGATGCCCTGCGGAGGGCTAGGTTGTCCTCTGGAAATCCAGCTCTTCTCTTAGGGATGCAACCTCTGTCCCCCCCTGTCATCTTTCTCGATCTCAGTGAGCTACCTGCCTCCTTCCCACTTGTGATTCCCCGGGGATCCAAATCCAGGCTAGTCTCCTCCCCGGGCTGCAGCCTCTCTCCACCCAGTCACAATCCGCCCTGAACCGTGTGCCCAGCGCACTCACCCTGGCTCCTGGCTGTACTAGTTCTAGTTCTCCCCTACCCTTCCCACCCCCACCAACAAACTCCAGGCTCTAAGGGAAGCGCGTGTCCTGTGTCCCAGGTCCTGGTTGTCACCAGACCCATGGGCGCTTTTGCTGAGAGCTACTTCCCTTTTGGAAACAGTGTTCCTTCCATCCAGGAGAGAAGAAACTATTCTCCAGGGCTAGTTTAGGAAAAAAAAATAAATAATAACCACGACAAAAAAATCTGTGGTGTGAAAACATCAGTGGCTAAAAGCTGTTTGGAGTAAAGACCTCGCAGGAAGTGAAGATAGGCCTGCTCAATGAATCAGCTCCCAGATTGTCATTTCTCTGGCTACCTCTTTTCACGTCTGACTCTACACTGGCTTTTCTTTTCTTTTCTTTTCTTTTTTCTTTTCTTTTCTTTTCTTCTTCTTCTTATTTTTTTTGGTCTTCAAAATGTTTTCCTCTACAACTTTTTCTTTATTTATGTTTTTAGCTCTCTTAAACAAGAAATCCCTGGGAATAACTAGGTAAAAAAGAGAGAGGAACCAGCACACCTTATTTTGCTAATTACTGGCACAGGCTGCCCAGGTACCAGGAGCACCTTTGAGGCTGAGCATTCTCTTCTCTATAGAGGCATTTAGAGCAGATGAAAAAGACTCAATTCCACTCTTCAATTCAACACTTTTAAGACAATTTTTTTTTGTATTTTTCTTTTGTATTCCTCAATGAATAAAATTTTGTATGTTACATATATTTATATGTATATATTCCTGCCATGTTCTATGCCAACATGCAGATGAGGAGGATGGTAGACTTCTGAGTGTGCTCTCTGGTCTCTGGTCGGCTCTGCACAAACAGCCTTCCCCTCTGGGAATGGGAAGGGACCCTCAGGGTGGATAGCATGGGGTAGGTCTGAACACAGCCACTGTTCAAGTCCACTTCTGGTCACATGATTCATTAGGACCCTTAACCCTCATCGGAGGCGCTAGCATCAGACTGACCCTGCCAATTCAACCACTGCCAGTGAAACCCCATAAAACAGCCGGGCTAACCGAGAGGCTGAGGCCGGCCAACACTGCCTATGGTAATTAGACTTAGGGGGCCTTTCTCTTCCAGTGCTTGGCTGCACAGGGCAGAGAGTTTGGGGTTCTTTTCACCAACCAAATGCCCTTTGGTCCTTCCAGGGCACCCATTAAACACAGTGGGTAATCTGGAAGCTGACTCCCTCCAGAGGGTGGCTTAACTCCGAAGCCAAGGCTAAAACCTGGTGGTGGGTCCATAAAAAGGACAGGCAAAAATCAGTTCACAATAGGAAATGCACATCATCAGCGAGCGTTTACTGCTGTTACTGCTTTTAGTATTATTGTGAGGCATGGGTGGGGAGAAGCCTAAAGTGAAGGAAGAAAAGGAAAATGATATTAATGAAAGGTATGGATACTTAGCAACCCTCTCCCCCAGCGCACATGAACGCAGAGAGTAATGGCTGTAGTCCATTCAGAAGCTGAAAACGCTTCCAACACCGTTTACAAGGATAAAGGAAGGCAGACATGGTGAGGAGGAGCATGGGCTTGAGCCAACTTAACCACACTTTTGGCCAGGTACCAGAAGTCATAGAGCATCATGGAGAGTGGGGAGTGGAACTGCTCCCATCCCTGGGAAGGGATCTTATGCAGGGCACTTTCCCGTAAAGTGTGTCTATCATATTTAACTCCTAGGTGGGGAATAGTCCTGGTCTGTCACTGTCTTTTTTAGACTTAGGCAGAGCAAGGGTCACACGGATGTAAATGAAGGTGTTATCTGCTCCGTAGGGAGAACAATCACCATTTACTTATTAAATAAATGGCTTATTCGGACAAGCAGATGGCTTAATGGTGATGGCGCTGGACTCCCGTGTAGTGGATGGTTCAAGTCCCAGACCCGGCAGCTTAAAACTCATGCCAGGTACATGTGTGTGCCTGCCCAAGATCCACAAGAAGAGAAAGGAAGAGAAAGGATTGTATGTGTAGCCATTGGGGGTGATTTTTCGTTTTCTGTCTCTCTGGGGAGCATACGCGTCCTATAGCAAAACTCTCTCAATAAACAAATAAATAAATAAATAGCTAATTTATTTAATGACTTTATTTTCATCTCTTGTCAAAAAAATTTTTTTGAGAGATTGATTTTTGGTACAGAGCACATGCACTTGCCAGAGAGACAAAGAGACAGAAAGTGAGAAATCACCCCCCCCCAGGGGGGATGGCCATGTCACAATCTCTTCTCCATTCTTCTCTCAGAATTTTGGGCATGCACATGCACCAAGTGTGAGTTTCAAGCTGCTGGTCCAGGACTTGAACCACGGTTGATCGACCACATGGGAGACCAGCACCTTAATCGCTATGCCACCTGCTGACCCTTCTTGTTTAATTTTAACATCTCTACATACTTATTACATTACAGTGTATCCCGTCATTTTATAACAAATCTGTATTTCCTAACCCATAAAATTATCTATAGAGTAGAACATAGCAAAACCTCTCTTATAGTAAAAGAAAATGTATTCATTACTATCTGATACATAACGGTATAGTTATTTTCAATTTGAGTTGGGGGAGAGAACACACCAAAAAATGAGAAGCCATATTCCTGCAGTTCTAGATAGAATTCAGTAACATCCCCCCTTTCTGCTTGTTCCTCATCCTGCCCTTCCTTCCTTTCTCTTTATCCTTTGGCCTTAGTCACAGAGAAAACAAATAATCCAATTTGGGGCCTTAGGAATCATTTTTTCTGCTTGTATCCTTGTCTTCTCTTTCTCAGCTATTTTCAATGACATCCTGACCAGATTGTATTTGGTGTAAGCCTCTTCGAATTTTCCAGGGACCTCTCTCACCAGCATCTAACCCTCAATCCCATCAGCAGAACAGATACAACTGCATCATTCTAGAGCCTGAGAGATTAGATTCCTATTTGCTTTCCCATGCAGTAGGATGTTCTATGAGGATTACAAGAAATGAGTAAGAGGGGGGAAAGTATATTATGTATTTTGAACCATGAAACTATACTGCCTGTTTATGATAAATTAATATGATCAGGATAGATGTGAGAGGTGGTAGATGCTAAATATATATAGATGTGATATTATATATTGAAGAGTAGGGACTAGGTGTTGTCTGCTGAGAATATGGGCTTGAAATGTAATCAAGTTTTGGTTGTGCTCAATGGCTCGTAAATTGGAAATCTAACTATTTTATCATTTCATATTTAGTATTTTGGTGCAGTAGTATGAAATGCACACCAAGTCTTTTCCTGCCTCATCTTCCGGAGGGGAGAGACTTGCTGATATAAAGCCATTCATTTCTCCAGTGAAGTCACTGGGAACACAGACTTGCAGGATCGACTGAGCCCGAAACCTCACATAGAAAGGCTAAGTTAGAACACTACTGAGAAGGACCGACATTTTCTAATGGCTATTTGAAAATGCACAATTCCTTTTACAGGACAAGACCTCGACCGCCTCTCAGAGCACACCACCTCCACGGACATCCTGTTACCTCTGGTGGGCTGAAAATCTTGCCCCTGTCCCAAGGCTTTACAAAGCTGTAAACATTCTTAATAGGCCAATTCCCGAAACTTCATTTTTAAGCCTAAATCAAAGAAAAGAGAGAAAAACCTCTCTTTATGATGTTAATTTAGAAACAAAAGTGATCAACTAAGCAGGGAATTGAACAATCAGTCTCCACTCTAACCCCAGGTCATTAAATGACCCCAGGATGCCAAAATATTCGAAGTTAGAACTGCAGTTCTCTTTAAGAAATATGCAAATAAACAAACCCACCCCACTCAGGGACACAGTTCTTCAGATCACACAGATGTTTATGTCTCCTCACAGCTTTTCCTGTAGCATAGTCCCTGCTAAGAAACAACTTGAAATGCTCTTATGGAGAAGATCCAATTGCAAAATTAAAGAGACTTTAAAAAAATAAAACAACAACAACAAAAACCTGTCTTATTTAAAGGTATGATAGACAGAAAGCCACACAAGAATAATCTTTCCTCTATTTATTTGTGTTGATATATGGAGCCTCCTCAAAACACAAAAGCCAGGCTGCCTTTTCCCACAAAAGCAGGTGTTAAGTGAATGATTTCCAAAGGAGGCACTAGGTTGTACTGGAAACAGCGATTTCAGATAGTGAATAGGAAACAAATTGGACTGAAATCCGTGAGACCCAAAAAGGAGAAAACGGTGGAGCAGGAAGGAAATGAAAGGGAGTTGAAAGAGCGCTTGGTTTTTCTCCAGCTGTTTGCAGGAGTTGGAACATCTGGTGCCAGGGTTTTTCAAAGATGACAAGGGATGGAAGTAAAATTATTTTTCCCCCGAAGAGTGACTTCCTCCAAATAAAAATATATCTTCGGGGTGGAGACTTTTCTCTTTCCACAGGGAATGAGCAGAGGTCACGTATAACCAACTTTCATCATTTAGTGAGAATAACTGAACGACTGTGGAAACAACAGGAGCCAAGGTGTTTGTGCTTTAGGAAGAAAATAAAAAGAAAGAAAGAAAAAAACATCCTTCAAGATCAGGTCTGGCTTGGAGTGGGACTATCCCAATGGGTTCTTCGTATTTCACATTTTATAGACAGTCTTTTCCCTAAAGGATACACTTTCATTAGGTCATAAATGCACCAACAGATGAGAGAAGGAAAGACGAGTGTGTGTGTGTGTGTGTGTGTGTGTTCACGCTTGTCCAGCATGGCGGTGGCGCGGGTATAGGGGTGGGGGGGTAGGGGGGAAGAGAGAGATGGTGATCCTCGGGCGATGGTGTGTGCCACTCACCTCTGCAGGGGTAGGCCAGGAACCAAGAGCAGAGGCCGCCTTCGGTGAGGCTTCCTAGCGTTTCTGCTTCGCTTTCCCTGTTAGAGTTTTCCATGTCTCCACTGAAGCTGCGAACTGCCCCAGTCCAGGCAGTTACTTCCCTACAGGCCACAAGAAGGGAAGGTGTGTGTGTAGGTGAGTAGGCGGTGGGAGAGACGTGTATTTTTTTTTTCCAGTTTGTTTAAAGTTCAACTCGGGAAGTGTATTAGTTGGGGATCTCAGTGCCTGAACTTGGGTAACAGAGAAGAGAACTCATGTGGCGACTTTCACCTCTTGCTGGACTCGGAATCCTGGATTGGACAGGTTTAGCTCACCCAGTACCGAAAAGGCCCGGTTGGGTACCCTCGGAGAGGAAGGCTCTTCACCTCTACCCTCCCTGTTCCAGACAGGAAAGAACCTGAGACCGGGAATCATTCTGTCCGCTCTGGCCTCATGGGCTCCTTTCAGCGCATTCCCAACGCGGTTTGTGCGACCAACATCAATTTGCCTCCTCTGCCGAGTCCCGGGGCGTGCTTAACTTCACAGCACCGATTCACACTTGGAAGTCGGTAGCAGTTTTCAAATTATTGTAAAACACCACACGGATGATATATTGTCCTTCCAGGCCAAGTTAGCGAGGCATGCGCGCACACGCTGTGTTAAATCACACCCCGAGATACGGAGAACATGTTTAAATGTGGATCTACACGCGACAGAGAAGAACGGGAGCAATTATTATTTTCCACTTTTTTGGCTTTCCGTTTTTAAAGAGAGCGTTGGTATCAAGGACGAGTGAGGTAATGTGTATTAAAAGGCAAGCAGGTCGCTGTTGTTTCAGCCCAAACGCAGTTTTGAGTTCAAGGAAAACTGCCTTTAATTGACATCGTGTATATTCCTCTGCTCCTCTTGGGCTGCCCTGGCAGGGACGCCCCAAGAGTATTTATTCCTAGAGCTGGAAACAAACCAACCCACCCGGTCTACTGCGTAAGAAAGCGCTCCAAGATGGACTGCCGGAGAAAGGCTTTTTGACCCCTGTGGAAATTAGTCATATTGACAGACGCCCGGGGAAGGTAAATTACCCCGCGCGCTGACGTTACGCAGAAGCGCGCCGAATTCCGACTGGGCTGCGGCGCGGAGGCTGCCAGAGGCTCGCCGCTCTCTCCCCCAGATCCCGACAGCCTCCAGCTTTGCTTCCGTGGGCCTAGGATTTCCAGGTGAAGGCGACCGAGAGAGTGGTAATAAGGTGCTAGAAAGGAAAAAAGGCAAAAGAAAACGAAAAAGGTGGAGGGAGAGAGAAAACGGTGCGCTCTTAGCCGGCGCTTTGGAGAGCCCGGCGGAGTAAAGGAGCAAAGTCCGCCAGGGAGGGAGAGAGGGAGGAGGCAGGAAAGGAGAAGACCACGCGGCCCCCGGCGCCCAGGCCGCCACTTGGGAGGTCCCGGCCCCGACGCAGACCCGGCCAACCGTCCCCCTGGGAGGCTCGCGGCTCGGGCGGGGTCACAATTACACCTCGGCTCCAGGCGAGGACTTAAAAACCTAGTGGCGGGGACTGCAGTCTGAAAGCAAGGCCCTGCGGTCATCAGAGGGGGGCCGGGCCCGTGCACAGGAACTTTTTACAAGGCATGTGGGTACAAGAAAAAAAAATCAAAATAAACCACTTTCATCCAGCATGGGGTAGTGAAAATAAAAGCCGCCTTCTAGAGGGAGGTAGCGGGAGTTTTGAAATTCAGTATGCGTTTGCTTTTATAGAGAATTTTGCGGTTATATTCCATAACCGAGAGGAAAATAACTGCTAGATTTTTTTCCGGGGGTGGGGAGGTGGTGAAGGCTGGAATCAGAGGGTCCCAGGCATCCCCCAAATCAGATTGCGTTTTAGGATTGCAAGCAACTGCACACATCTTTCCGGCTCCCTACACAAACCGGAGAATTACTTGTATTGTTGCTAGAAAGTAGGGTCTAGTGGTCCCGCCTCTTTTTCTTTTGAAAATCGGGTCTGTGGAAGAGGCAGATTAGAGTCAAATGTGTAGCATCTGATTTTTACCAGGGATTGGACCAGATAGCTCCAAGAGTAACCAGCATGGCCAGAAACCAGTTGGGTCAGGGCGCAAAGAGAAGGCAAAATTCGTCGGGTGGGAGCTGGTGAGAGCCCGAGCTCCGGACCTGGGCGCTAGAGCAGAAACCCCACAGCGAGGAGGCCAGGCCCTCAGGGGGAGAAGGCGAAGCCCCCTCCCGCGGGGAGACCTGGATAGCTTCTCCAGATCTTGGGCACGCCTCTCCGGTATTTTTAGCTCCTCTGCTCCCTAAGGCCCTCCTTTGTGTGGAGAACAGAGGCTCTCCCAGCTGCCCTCACCCGGATGGGGTGTGGGAGTCGGATAAAGAAAGCTGCACCGGTATTTTGCAGGAAAAAAAAAAAAAAAGCTTATCTTTAAATGAAAACAATGCAAAACTCGGTATCTAGGTTCCTCTCCTTTTGGCCTCCTGTCTAGGCCCGGGGGAACCCGCCACGTCCCTCAGTTTAGAAGATCGTGGGGGCAGGGCTAGGTGGGGCCTAGAAATCCGCTCTGGATCCGGGTGCGGGCGCGCCTTCCTCTCCGCTTTTTATCCTTCCACTCTAGGCTCCTTCCACTCCCGGAGCGGGTCTAGGCATCCCAGCACATTGGTTGGGGGAGGAGAGGAACCTCCGATGCCTCAGGGGAAATAAAGGCCTGGGACATTTATCAATCAAATGATTTTTTAGATTTAGGTTTAAAATAAGCCCATACATTTCTGCTCCAACCTCAGAAGTGTCCAGGACCGCGAAACTCCGGGCCCAGACTGGAAGTCCTCAGTAGGTAAATTTTTTTAATGTAGAAACCTGGGGTTCCCTGTGCATTCCCTCATCTCGGAAGGGCCCCAGTCCAGCCTCAGGCTTTGGGCAGTAGTCAGGACTTCGACGGCCCCTTTTCTTCCCATCTTGAACCCCACAGGGCCCCTGCAGCTCCCGGGACTCACTTTCACACCGAATCTGGATCCAATAGCAGGTCCGCATGCCCCACCCCCTTTCTTGGGCTCTGGGGTGTCCTTAGAAAGTCCCCAAGCTGGCAGGTCCGCTCTCGGCCAGGAAAATGAGGGCGGCTAGCGGGAGCTTGCCAAGGGTACTCTACTTCCTCCTTTGTCTGCCCCCACCCTAGCTTCTCCCAGCCTCTGCACAGAAATGTGTGACGGACGCCACCCACCCCGGCTTCCAGGGCTGTTCTGGAGATGCCCCCGCATCCCGAATGCCGCGCCCCTACCCACCAGATTGCCTTCGGGACCCCTCCGTGCGGTGTCGTCTGCGTGGCGCTGTGAGCTAGCCACCAGGAACTCTCTGGCCCGTTACCTCTGCGCTCTTAGCAGCTGGGCAGACCTGCGAGTCGAAGATGCTCAGAGAAGAAGGAAGTGCAGAGAAAAAAGAAAAGTAAGAAGAAGGGAAAAAAAAAAAAAACCCTAACATAGACAGACGGGTTCAAAACCAACTTCGGGGTGGGACTTTTCCAGTTTCACACGAAGTGACCTGGAGTATCTGGAGAAGGTTTTTGAAGACGTTTAGGAGGGAGGGTGAGTTTTCTGCTGAGAAACTCAATCTGCCATACAGTAGCGGCCCCATCTGGGATCTGTCACTGCTGACAGCACCACAGGGCACAGCCGTGATCTTCGCGCAGCCTGCACTCCCCGAAATACCCTCCTTAATCAAAGGATGTCTGCGCGCCCGGCTCAGCTGACCGCTCTGGGAGCAGAACCGCCGGCCATTCCACCCCGCCTGCCCCTCCCCACGCACGCAGCCACTGCCCCTCTCCTCTTCCCAGCACATTAATTAAAAGCGGAAAAGAGACAGAGGCTGATGTCATTGCTCTCAGAAGATCATAAACGTGAAAAGAGTCATCCTGTGAGAATCCCTGAAAATGACTTTAATGAATAATTTCAGAGACAGTTATGGCTTTGGGTGATTACTGAGCGAGAATATGAAAACCAGATTCGGAAAGCCAGGGCGATGGTCAGGCGTTCTGGCTGCCACTTTTCCCCTATTAAAACTGCACTGGCTTTGCTTCTTGGCCAAGTCCTAGTTACAAACTTAGGTTGCGTTTTCCAGGTTTTCTCCTTTAAAATGAAAAGCAACAAATACATATTTCCCTTCTTGCGTGTCTGCCTTTATCGTAAAGACAAAAATGTCAGTTCGAGGCAAAGACAATAACAACCTGCTTCAAATTGAAGGCAACCATGCACTGGCGTCAGTAGTCATTGGCTTCCCTCTTTTTACAAAGGACGGGTTTACAGCCATCTTAATCTAGAATAATATATTTTCTGCCTCTTCTCCAGGCAATGTGCATAATTAAGGTTGAAGACTCTTGCCCTCAAGTGCACTGTTTGTTCTAAATCGTTTTGGCTGGTAGAGCAGCAACTGACCCACCTCTCCAAAAGTATCTGTTCTGGTTCTTGGTCACCAGTGGGCTGCAAGGAAGAATAGTTTGAAATTCTCTTTCTGGTGGAGGGAAGCATCTGGTTGCTCATGATTGGTACTGCATTAAAAGTACTATTTGGGGGACCAGCAGCTGACGTGGTAGTTAAAGACGCTGGACACTCCCACATGGCCGACCAGGGTTCGAGTCCTGAATCTGATGGCTTGCTTTTTCGCTTCCTCTCTCTCTCACTCTCAATGTCTGTCTGTCTCTCTCTCTGGTCAAATTTAAAAAAATGAATAAATAAAATAAAATAATAATTTTTTTAAAAAGTACTATTTGGGAAAATCACTGGGAGTTAGTGGGAGCAGGAGATGGGTGAACATCCTCCGATCTTTTACATCACCGGCTTAGCTGTCTTGAGTCTGTCTTCTTTGCTTGAAATATAAACTGAGACTCTGAACCTGAGGCCCACGTTGCTTCATCCCATCTAACTCAAGTGTTTATTTATACTCTGAGCAAGAGAGTATAATAGGTACAAGCAGTGTGGGTTTTGTTTTTGTTTATTTTTGAGTGGTCTGAGTGGTTCAGAAAACTGGGTAAATTTATCCAAGTGGACTCCACCATTAAGACGTGGAGAGTCCACTTACCAGCCCATAGAAAACTATGTTGTGTTGCCCCTGCCCGTCCCTCCCTCCACTAGAAGCATTGCTAGGCCCAGGACCTTCAGTCACTGAAGGATATGATTGTCTAAAAGCCTCATTCCCACTCCCCACCCCCAAAGGGCAGAGCCCAAAGTTTCCTTCCCTCTAGGCTGAAGATAGGGGGGTGTGCCTATGGGGGAAAGGCAGGGGAGGTGCCAAATTCTCAGTGTGCCACAAAGAATCCATGCGAAGTGAACTTTGGAGAACTTTTCTCAACTGGATTCTCTGTTTATCTTAGATACTCTTAACCCCCTCAATAGATCTTCTTGTCACTCCAAATCACAGTCTTCTTTTCTGCCTAGATTCAGTGCCCTTTGACTGAACACTCAGCCTGCCTACAGAACTCTCTCTGCCCTTGTGGCCCAAGGAGAAGGACATAGCATCTTCTGGATTTGTTTAGAATCTTTTCATTGCCCATGTACATTGAGGTGTAGAGCTGATCTATGATACTATGGTGAACTTTCTGCAGACGCTTTAAATAATTCAGGCCTCACACCATCCCTCCTCCATGCTTGATAAAGCCACCTCTAACTGCACCACCAGGATTTTCACACGATCCATGGAGCAGACTGTGGAAAGTGGGGGGGGGGGTGGGTTACAGTTGGGTAGATGTGACCTCAGGCAGTGGTTCTGAATCCCTCTGGGGGAGCTTTGGAAAACTGCAGTCTGAGAATCTATCTAGTCCCTGACCTGCTTGCTGAGTCAGGATTTCTGGTGAAGGTGTGGATGAAATAGAGCTGGGTTTGTCATTTTATCAAGTTCTCCAGAATGTGGCAAGATCCAACTCACAAGGTTCGTGTTGAATCAATCCCGTGAGTGGTCGGGTTAGCCAGCGGGGCGCCAGGATCAGAGATCTGGGGCGTCTGTCTGCCTGTCCAGATATTATACAAATACACTTGGCCTCGGATCCGAACACAGGGACACAGTAAGGGACAAAGCTGCCGTCCGCCATCCTCGCCCTCTTGTGATGTCAGTGTTTGCCAGGAAGGGGTGAGACAGAAGTGGGTCCAGCGCCTCGACTCGCTAGATCCATTAGGCTTTAATAGCAGGTGCAAAGGCGGTGGCGGTGAGACGTCGCGTTCCGTAATCAGTTTTCGCCCCACAGACCCGCTAAACAGACACGCCCACTATTTTAGCCCGAGGGCTGAAGGGGCTGAGCCGGTGCCAGTGAGAGGCCGGCAGCTCTAAACGTTGCCTTAAGAGCCCTAAAAGCTGGCTGATTTAAAAAGTCCTCCACCCCACCACGGTCCCTGGCTTGCACAGGCACCGCGACACCGGTCGCTGCCGTTGGTGTACAACACTCTCGGCGGAGGGGGAGTGTAGTCGGTCTGGACGCTTTTCCAGGAGAAATGCAAAACCGAAGTGGGGAGGGGGCAGTAGAGACGTTCACTGGCCCCTCCTCACCCCCAAACAAGGAAAACAAAAAAGTCTTCTGAGCTAAAAATACATATTGAGAAAGTCCCTGTGCGCAGGCGGGCGGCGCGTTCCAGCTGTCGGCCTGGCCCAGGGAGGACTTGGCCGCGGGGCGGCGGATTACACCCAGCTCGGCTGGGATGGCTCCGAGCCGTCTGCCCTGACGTCAGCGAGGCTCCGGCCCCGCCACCGCGAGATAGGCGAGCGCAGCCCCGCGCGCGCGCGGCACTAATCACTCCCAGATGTCCCCAGATGTCCCTAATAGCGGAGATAAAGACGGGCAGAGCGGCCGGGAATAAATTTGTAATCAGGGCTCTACCATCTGATCATCAAAGCGACGCGAACGCAGGGAGAATTTGAGGGCATGCCTGTGCAGGGGTGTGGGGGGGGTTCGCCCTTGGGAGAGAGGCAGGGGGCGTGCTCCTCTATCGCAACTGAGTGTTGGCAGGATGGAGCAGGGAGGAAAGGGGGAGAAATCTTTAACTTTTGTGCACTTGTAAGTCAGACACCCAGTGCGCTTTAGCTTCCCCGGCCCAGACCCGCAGAAGCTGCCGCGCAGTTAGAAGCTAAATTTGAACTCGGCAGAGGCTGCGGGGCGGGGAAGAGCGCTCCGTGCGGTGGTTGGGTAGTCACCAGGCACGCTCATGACTGTGCCGGCCCCCGGAAACATGGTTGCCCCCACTGCCCCTCTCTCAGCAGTGAAAAACAAAAACCGAAAACCTTGTGCCCCCACCTCCTGGTAAGTATGATCTCTACAGCAGCAATTCATTCCAGAGTGCTGCTTCCAGCCTCCAGTTAAGATCCTGGGCCCCAGTCTGCGGGCTGCTTCTGGGGTTTTCCCTCCCAGGGATCCACAGGCGCCGCAGGCTAGAAGACTCGTTAGCGCCCCCTCCTCCCACGGAGATCTGAACTGAACCTTGGGTCCTTTGGAGGGAATGGGTTCTCTCAGGCCAACAGATTGGGAGAAGACAGTGCCCAGGATCCAGATCCAGCCCTTTAAGGGCCCACACCTCAAGCCTCCTTCCAGACCATCTCCACTTGGCGCCCGCCAGCCATTCCCTTTTCCAAATGCAGTCCAGTGGGTGGGACTCACCGGCAGGGAGGACGCAAGGCGTCTGTAGAAGAGAGCTCTGTGAGCCGCGCGGGCAGCAGTAGATAAAGCGTTTGGTTAAGAACTCGGGGGGGGGGGGGGGGCAAGCGGTTTCCCGCGCTTTGTGGACCCGCGGTGGAAACGCAGTTCTGGCTTTCCTGGCATCCTTTACCCTGTTTACTGTCCCCAGCACACACCTCAAGGCCTTGAAACTGGTCCGCGTTCTCTCTGCAAAGCTATGATCTCCAAGAAGCTCCCAAGCCTTCTTCTGCTCCTGGCTTTGCCTTGGACCTCACTCTCATCTCCCGCACCCCCCTTCCGCGAATTCCGCCTTCCCCCAACTTTTGCTCTTCCACAATTTTAACAATCCAGGTGGGAGGCGCGTTCCATTCTCCCCAGTCCTGGGCCGAAGCCAGAGAGTCCTCCGTGAGGGAAAAGAATCAAGGGAAAGGAATCGAACCACCCTCTGCTCTTGACTCAAGCACACATGCTTTCCATGAAGCCTGGAGGCAACCTCCCTGTTGCCAATGGCAAACGCTTCTCATCTCCCAGTCAAGCCACCTGGTCCTCCTGCACCTGAGTGGGGTGGCCTAGGCCAGAATGCCCACTTTTCATGGGTCTACTGGCTAACCCACTCACAGGCCGGAGATCTCCGCCGAGCCCCCAGAGGGTGGCCCCAGGATCTGGAAGGCTAGCAGAACTCTATGTGATCTGGCTTGTCTTCTTGGACTTTCAGGCTAAAATGGCCTTTAAAGCTCCTGTTAGTGTCACAGTTGGGGGCAAAAGTTCTGGACAATTGCACTGGGAGCAGGAAGTGTTTTCAGGTCCCACTTTGTGGAGTTTTCCCCAATTCTTCCGAAGCTGAGAATGGGTCTGCAGCCACACACACACACACACACACACACACACACACACACACACACACACACACACACACACACACACACACACACACACACACACACACACACACACACACACACACACACACACAGGCCGAGCCCTTTCCCCGCTGGTGCTCCAGGGTTATCAGGCGCTTGGCCTGCACTGCGGTCTGGGGCCGAGCTCTGACAGCCAGATCTACCATCAATTTACCTTCCGCCGCCCCAGCTTCCCATTTAGCTTTTAACGTCAAATCCTACATTTTTGTCGGCTCCGGCCTGTCTAGAGCTGCAGTGATTTCGCTGCAGGAGTGATTGCTCTTAACAAAATGGCAGCAACCACATTATCCGAGCAATTAAAACAGAGGCCTTTTAGCAGTCCCTGCAAGCAGGAGCTTGGACGTTTTCTTTCTTTCTTTCTTTTTTTTAAACAAAGAAAGAAAGGAGTTAAAAGAGAAAGAAAAGAGTAGCTCTGATGCACAGGAGAAAGGCCTACCCAGCACATAGCTCATTCCTCTAGGCCTTGACAACCGCGGCAGGGATGTTGGGTTGTGGAAGCACTGGGAGAGCTGGGATGTTCCGGACTAGGGTGCTGGATATTCTAGGGTGCTCTGGGGTTGAGGTGTCTGGCCAGTTGCCCTGTGCCGTGAGTTAAGGAGGTTGGCTGCCTGGGTGTTGAGGCAGCTGGGACATTCCGCTGAGGTGCCAGGTTTGCTGGGTGTCTAGCCTGTGGAGTTTTTGGTGGTTTAGCCAGCTTTTGGGTGTCCACGCCAGATTCTGCTGGGCCAGAGCAAGGGGCCTTGCAGGAGGGAAACAGGGCAGGTAGCACCCGGTCCTGGGCCTGACAAAGAGGCTGGGTGTGCGCAGCACAGTTTAAAAGCATGTGAATTAGCACCTACTCCGTAGCAACCCGTTTGCCAAGGTCTTCTGATTTCCCTCTGCTGGTATTGTATAAACCAGAAAGCTTCAACTAGCAGAAATGCATTTAGGCCATGTTGGTGAAGACCAGTTCCCCAAGGCAGAGAACTCCTCTCTGATTCTTGTTTTTAAATCCTCACTGCCTCCGCCGCTGTTTACTCCAATACTCTGGTAGATTCCTTTCTTCCACCTCTAGAACCTGGCTTCTTTCTCATGAGCGGATACAAAGAAAGATGCAGAAAGCAGCTGGAGGCAGGGAGCCACTCAGTCAAACCGAAAATCAGGGCGCGCCTCTTCCCCACCACCCCCAATGCTATAAACAAAGGCAAGTGTCTGTAAACACAGCCCCGCGCCCACCAGGTCCGCCCAGCGCCCGCTGACCCGAGAGGAGAAAGTTCAGATCGCTTTGGCCGAGTTGTTCTAACCCTTCGCCCTTGCGTTGTCAGCCGCCCGAAGTCCTCAGAGCCACTCGCTCGTCCTTCCCCCGGCACTGGCGAATTGACCCTCGCCGGGCCGAATCCCGCCCGCAGGCAGGCGGCACGGTCTGAGTGGGCACCCGGCGAGGCGTGAGAACCCCTGGGATATCGCAGGAGGGTCGTTGCCTGCAGCTGAGGTGCGAACATTACCCCAAGGATGGGTTCCAAGATGGGAACCCTCTGGCAAGCCTCTCCAACACCAGATTTATATACGGGGCCTTTCATGAAACAAACCGCTTTTTAATACGTTTCACCTTTCTCCCTCCCCCCCACCAACTCCCGAATCCCTCCTCCTCCTTCCTCCTCCCAGCCAGCAGAGTCAGTTTTTCACAGCATTTAAGTTTCTCTGGTTTCTAGAGCAAAGATTCACGCTCCAGCCGAGCCCACGGCAAGGACTTTCTTCCGGGATGTGCAGGGACGGGAAAAGCTAAAACCTCAGACAGGGTGAAGTCCCCGGCGGCCTGTAGCCTGGGGAAGATGCCGCTTTCTCCGACTGGGAAGACCTCAGACCCCGCACAGTTAGTATTGAGTTCCCTGTAGCTCCTTGTAAATCTAACCCACCTCTTGCCCCCCTTTAAATCCATGGGCTTGTTCGCGATTTCTTAACTTGACGTCAAATTCCTTGTTACCTAATCATGGGCTTTTCCCCCCTGAAAGCCTCCTTCAACACACACACATACACACACACACACACCAGCTTGCTCAGATGAAAATGCACTAATCTAGACACAAGCAAAACCTCCTCCTCTCTCTTTTTCTTTCCTTCCACTCTCTCTCTCTCTTTTGTTTCTTGGTGGAAAGCCCTATATTTTGAATTACACACCCCACGCTAGTTTCTGTGATTTTAATGATGCCTGGGATCCTCCTCACATCTCCGTCACCAAAAATGTGCTGCTCACACAAACAAACAAAACCCCCACAAAGCCTCCACCAAACAGCATCTGGTTGGTTTCAGTAGAACAAGGACACCTTTCCACCAGTAAACTGCAGGCTGTCCTCCAGCCTAGACCCTCTCTCCAAAGACCACTGTTCTGAGCTAGGATGGAAGAAGAAGAGACTTGACTCAGTACCCAGGCCTTTGGGCGGGATTTTCACCAAGGACACCTCTTTAAGAGCATCTCCTTGCCCTTGTCCTGTGTAGTTGGCAGGTCACAGTGATTGGCTGAAACCACTGACTCTTTACAATAAAGTTAGAGGCAATTATGATAACTTAGTTTACTTCTGAATATTTTAAATATGATGAAAACAAGTATAACAGCTTTGTTTTCAAAACTCTTCTTGAGGTATCAACCATTAAAAGATTAGGTTTTTTTTTTTGTAAAAAAGAACACACAGTGGTTTATTGAATACTTACAACGTTTACACCTTCAATATTAATTAAATTCCACTTAGTTTTAGAGGACGGAAGTGCACAAAACAAGTAGCTGTTGGAAACATCTTCGCATAGGGAAAAAAAAACAGGTGAATGGACAGCACTAGATACCGACCCCAACGGAAATGTCATCGGGCCTTTTTTCCCCCACTTTGAAATAAAACTATAACCCCCAGGAATATTTATATCCAAAGGCCAAGTATTAAAGATACACTTCACATACGCACTAGTGTCCACTGTCTTTATCTGGAAGGTGGGTAGGTGGGGAGGGGCAACGCTGGTGTCTACGCAGCCAAGAAAGAACATTCACACACAGAGAATTTACACAGACGGTGGGATCCCTTACCACACAGGAGTGTCCTCTTCATATTAAAATATGGAATGCTTTTCTTCGAATATCCACTTTTTTTTTTGGAGGGGGAGGTGGGGAGCGGATGCTCAGTGGGGGGGGCAAAGAGAAAGGGAGGAAATTGCACATAAATAAACCGGATGATTCCAAAGGCAAGAAGTCCTCGGAGCAGAGCGCAGAAGATTTGCTGGGGTCTTGGGTCTGCATCTGGCGCCTGGGCCCCAGTTCTCTCCGCTCTTCTCCTCCTCCTCCTCCTCCTCACTGCTTGAGCTCCAGGGCCCAGACATGCTGTGGCCAGCCCGTCCGACCTTTGGTTTTCTTGTCGTTGCTGCTCACTGTGCTTTTCAAGATTTCATTCTGGGCAGACAAGAGGTGAGAGGGCGAGAAAAGTGGAGAGAGAAATTCAGAGAGGATACCTGGTTCCACTCCACCCCAATGCTTCCTGGGCTAGAGGACACAGTGAGCGAGGGAGGAAAGCAGAGACAGGAAGACGGCTCTCCCAGTCCCAGCCCCTGCAAAAGCTACGAAGGTCTGTGCAGCCCTTGCTACCGCCAGGCCTCCTGGATCGGCAAGTTTATAAACAACCGCTGGTTTTCAAGTCGTTTATGGAGGAGCTGGGGGCCTTTTCTCTGTCTCCAGATGTAGGTGAGGGAGCCGGGTTGGCTCTAAATCTGGTTTCTCTGTTTTCAATAGCAATCACTAACCCACACTCTAAGAAAAATGAGGGGAAGGCCCCTTGGCTGGGCCTGGGCCTCTCGGGCAGCAGCTCTGGGCCTCTAGCTTCGGCATGCTGCTCCTCCAACGCCTCTGAAATCTCTAGTAATTCAGTAGCTTATTTGATTATGCAGTGACCAAAGGGCTGCAGGCCCCAGGGAAGAAATATTGGACAAATGAAATGATTTTCCAGGCCCTTCATGATAATAGCCCTGTCCTGAACACCACCACCCTATGGGGACTTCGTAGGAACCTGAGAAAACTTTAAACAGCGCGACATAATGTGTTACCGGTCATAACACAAACCACAGCAACAGCTACTCGGAAATATATGGGCTCATTCAAGTAAAACTAGAGATACCCGTGGAGTATACTCATTTGGGAAATTACACTTTAACTTCATGGCCAAAGAGAAACTGGAGCAGAGTTTGGAAGCAAAAAATATTTTTTAAAACTTATTTTACAATATGTTTAGGTTTACATTTTCCCAGCACGGTAATGAGAACTGCCACAAAACTCTCTCAGGGCTCAGTTTCAGAAGCGGCCTGGAATGGAGAGCTTGTGGGCCACTTATTTTAGACATACCTGAAAGCAAGGTCAGAGTGGAGGCCAAATGAAGGCCCCAAGGGGTATGGGCCAGTGCAGTCCGGAGAGCAGCGCTCAGGACCAAGGGTTTGTGAGGCGGTCCTAAGTGCCCAGGGGAGCAGCGACAACCCGGAGGGAAGATCTCTGCGCCGGGCATCCCTCTTAACCTTCTCCTGCAGTGCTGACACGCTTCCCCGTCTCCCCGACAAAAGCAGGAAACCATGCCTACTACAACCTGGTACAAACAACCGCAGCTCCGGCTCCGGACTCCGGACGCAGCCCAAGAACCCGAGAAGCCATTTCTCAGCCCAGCTGGAAAGAGCACGGTCCAGGAACCTCGCGCTCCCACCGCCCTCTGCCCCCCGGTACTGACCAGCTCCTTCTTCCTCTTCTCCTCCTTCACGTCTGTCTTTTTGATCTCCGCCTTGAAGGCCTCCGCCTCGCCGTTCTGGTCGTCCTTGGCCAGCAGGTCCATGAGGTAGGCGATGTAGCTGGTGGCCAGGCGCAGCGTCTTGATCTTGGAGAGTTTGGTGTCGGCGGGCACGTTGGGGATGCACTCGCGCAGCTCCGCGAAGGCGCTGTTGATACTCTGAGTCCTGCGCCGCTCCTTGCGGTTAGCGGTGCCCCGGCGCTTCACCGGGCGCGGCCCGCCCAGGCCCGGGGGCCCGGCGCCGGGCGGCACCCCCCCGTAATGGGAGTGGTCCAGGCC